GGCAGTGGAACAGGTTGCCCAGAGAAGTTTTGCATGCCCCAGTCCCTGGAAGTGTTCAAGGCCAAGTTGGATGGGGCTTTCAGCAGCCTGGTCTAGTGGAAGGTGTCCCTGCTCCTGTCCAGGGGGGTTGGAACTAGATGGTCGTTCAGGTCTCTTCCAACCAAACTGTTCTACGATTCTATGATTCTGGGCCCTCAAAAGAAAAAAGAAACGTGCAACAGAATATAAAGTTGCATGAGAGAAAAGTGTATATTATTTGAAGCAAACTGACTATCTCTTCCTTTGTTTAAAAGTGATTTGCATGATCATAGGAAAATAAATGAAGCTTGCAAGGTTTTGAATCTCTTCTTGATTTATCTATTGTACTCTGTAAGACAGTTTTATTCAAATATCCAGTTGCTTATATATATCTATACAAAAATATATGTTATCTGCTTGTTTATATTATATATATTTTGCTTCTCACCTGTTTCTGGTTTGTTCTCATATTCTGTAGCTCATCCAGACAGTGAGTGCCATCGACAGGGATGACCCACAAGAGGGTCAGCACTTCTACTACAGCCTGGCTCCGGAGGCAGCCAACAACCCCAACTTTACTCTAAGGGACAATCAAGGTAATCAGAGTGGACACAGACAGTTAGCTACTCTAATTTCTAATGCCTGAGTTGGACTTGAGAGCCTGCGACTTAGTGTGATAAGACTGCCATTTCAAATAATATCAACTGACACCTGCTCCTTAAAGGCAGTGATAAAATGACATATTACTTGATACACTTGAAGGTTATATGTTATTTTCTTCTCTATAAATATTCTGTAGCACTAGGCCCCTTTTTCTTCTTCGAGGAAATGTGCCAGTGTTTTTTGCAAATTCAGGTCTTGTGGTCAGGCTGCAGGCATCTCGGATTACCAGAGTGGAAATTGCATTTGTTCAAAAGGAGATGCTTAAAGGTAGGATAGCAACTGGAACAGGAGACAAATCTGAGGGAATTACATTGCTCTTTTTTTGTACTCTTCATGTTTTCTCCCAGGCACAGAAAGGGAAGGTTCTTGTACTGTTCCAGTCTTTTCCCTCAAGCACTTTTTTTTCTTCCTCTTTGCACATCCTTGTTTCCTTAGGAAAGGGAGGGAGGTAGGGAGGAGACGCAGAGCTTTAGGGGGGTAACTTGGCATACAGCTAAAAGTCTGTGTAAGATGGGTTAAGTAGAAACTGAAACACCAGCGGGAAGACTCATGGCAAAGCATTGGCATTTGAGTACCCTAACCAGTGGAATTTGCTTCTTTTGGGGAAGCTTTGGTGGTTTTGGAGCCTGCAGGAAAGTCCTGCCATGGCAGGTTTTTGCATGACTGCTGCTGATAGAGGATCTCCATGGGCAAACAACAGTGCTGAGGTCAGGTCCACACCAGCCTTCATCAGGAAAGAGGGATGACCTTGAGTGACAGAGCTTTGAAAGTCAATATGAAGGGGCTGGATCTCAGTAGGAGTTTAGTCTGTAAAGTACCACAAATCAGCAAGTGATTCCAGAATAAATGGGGAGAAAGACTGGCCGCTTGCAGCATCCGTGGCCAGTGTCCAAGCAGAGCGCCTGCCCCTGCTCCCACACATGCCAACTTGTCACACTTACATCCATAAGCCCCTATCTGTGCCTCTGCAGGCATATGAAAGAGCAGCATAGAGGCTAATGAACAAGTCCCTGCCTTCACTAACCAAACGTGTCTTAAAACATGCTACCTGCAGAGTCTGGAGCCCTCCTCCACAGCACGTTAATGTTTTTTCATCCCAAAAGCAATTTTTTTCTACAGTGTTCCTGAAGCCTCCCCCCACAGTTTCTTGCATTTTTATCCCCTTCTTTCTCCCATTGTCTCCCTTTTTATTTCTGAATATATATTGCCAAAATAAGTGAACAAATAAAACACAATTATTGCTAAAACATTTTGCAAACTAGGATCATTTCATCCTCAAGGCATTGTTCTGAAAAAAGAAACTCACAGAATTCCCAGCATCAGATGCGCTTTTTCTGTCTAAGGCCATACTTGCAATAATTTATAGTGACAGCAGTGACTGAATGGCTGTACCTCCCACTCTCTGTAAAATACCAGTTTTCCAGAGATATATATCACAAGAAGCTTAGGGTACTATTGGTTACAAGTTTGAAATAAAAATGTTAAGTATCAAACAACTGACTATTTGAAATATACACATTAAGGATTAATTTACTGCCTCAGCAATTTGGAGTGCAGTAGTCATTTCAGTAACAATAATTTATAATTATATTTTCATCTAGGGACCACTAAGGACTATATAAATTATATGACTCAGTCACAGAGGAGGTAGCTGTACTGTATGTCACGAGGTGACAAGACAAGAAACAGAACCCACCTTGCTACTCACAGCCTGTGCATGTAAACACACGACAGCAACGCTTCCCAGGCTGTGGGAAGGCACTGTTAAGATTAGCAATTGCGCTGATTACTTGGTTGTCCAATATAGCAGTAAGAGAAACTGCAAGACATGCAGCCTTCCTGGCAACAATTAAAACCTTGATTTATACTGAGCAACAGATAGATCACAGTGTGCATTCTGATGAGCTGTTTTACATATTTCTTTGGCCCTTGTCATTTTAGTCTCTGAGAACTTCTTCAGTCTATTCATTCTGCACATATCTCTGGCAGACAGAGAAATCCTATTGTTGTCCACTTTATAGACGGGGATCCAGGGCAAGGACAAATTAAGCTACTTACACACCTTGTTCCCTTCGAGTTCAGTAAAATCAATGGGAGATAGACGTGTAAGTATCTGCAAAGATCTGAGCCTAAATGACTTCCCAAGGCCATGTAGGATATATGTGATGAAGCACAGAATTGAGCTGGGGTCTCCCATCTCTTCAGTTACCAATGCAGGCCATTGGCAAGCCATCTTCCCCTTCTTCTAAATCCAGCTGAGATTATGCTGGGAAAAAGTTGGCAAAAGAGGTTTGCTGAAAGAATGGGATGAACAACCAAATAAGCTTACTGCATTTCCAGACTAAACTCTGAGCTGATCTTCTATTGACTCTTAACTGCTGCCCTCCATCTTTGGGTACCAGGAACTGTTGAAGAGAGTAGCCATTTTAATGGGTGCAGGCGTCAGTGTCATACCACCACCAGGCCCGCCATTGGAAGCCTCTGGCAGTCCACCCCATTGCATTTAAATTTGCCCTAGGAAAATTTTTAGCTGTTGCTTCCTTCCCTAAAACTGTGGTCTACCTCACACTTTGGCAGAGCCCAAAACCAGCGAGCTGAAAATCCCCAAGAAAAAATGTGACCCGGTGGTGTCTGTAATGCCTGCTTCCTTGTGTTCTTTCTCACACTCCTGGTGAAACACTTCTTTATATTATTCCTAACTATTCACAATTATTATAATTGGTTTTTAAAAACTAGCAGAAGTTCTGGGCTAATCATCCTCAGTTCTTGTACAGATGCGTACAGAAAGAAACCAAGCTTGTCTTGTGAGAAAAGCAGTGGTTAGCTCTCATCTCAGGGTTTGGACCTACACAGTCACCTCCCCTGGCCTCTCCAGGGAGGTACATCAGTTCCAGTGGGGCAGAAAACTGCAGGAAGGAGATGTTTCATGGCTTGATCTTGCAACCACATGAAGGCACCAGCCTCCGTGCCATGGGAAGTACAGTTTTCACCTCCTGTTGATCACACAGGCACGGGACACACCATGTGGCAATCTTCAGTATCTCTGCTCAGCGCTGTACCTAAGTGCTACCATCCAGCCCTCTGCAAGCCAAAGATGCTGTGTTGGAAGCTGTGATGCAAAAATATTTTGTGTTCTTAACATGCTTGCTTTTTTTTTTTTAATATAACAGATCTTTCATGTTCTCACAAGCCCTCTTCTCCTGATGGCTGGGACTTAGCAGATACCAAATTTGGAAGAAAATTGTGTATTCTGGTTTCTGCCATGCTGCATCACATTCCAGCATGCCCTTCGCACTGTAGTAGCATGTCAAATCACATTGGCTTTTCATGAGTCATGCAACAAGCTTTGGCACCAACATATTGCAGTTGCAAAGTAACAGGTAGAGTGATTCTTTAGGGATGATTTGGATGCCTGCCTAGTACAAAGCAAAACAAAACAAAAGGGTTGAAATGTAATGCTGAGAGTCACCAAGAGAATTTTATCACCAAGAACATTTAAGACCTGGGTGATATGGTCAGCACATCACAGCAAAAATATATATGTATACACACGTATCTTTCAAAATTTGATTATAGAAACTTGGTTTTGGCCTGAAAAAAAGAGTTATGGTTAAAAACACTTGAGACTCGCTAGATGATTTTTCACAGCTTCAGTCAGGTTCAGTGCCTGTGACTTCTTTTACAGGCACAGTATGACCAGCTAAGAATAATGAAGTCTTCTTCCCTCACAAAAAAAAATTTTACATTTTACAATTTTACAGAAGGTTTGCTGTTACCTGAATAGAATTTATGACTTCTATTATAAGTCAGTTTAAAGACAGTGAGTCTTCCACCCAGGAAAGAGAAAAGCAACCAAATTACTACACTGTTAAGATGACTCAGACACTTCCATTGACACAGCATAAATGCAGGCACTTTGCCATTTTCTGCCCTTTGGGCTGCTTTTTCCCATGCTAAAACAGGTCCAGTGATGAAAAGATGTGGTATTAATAGCTGGGGAGCACATACTAGAGGACACATAAACAGCCCGAGGGAGACAAATTGCTTGCATGTGCCCCAGGAGAGAGGAGGAAGAGATTTGCAGGAGGCGAGGGCTCCTGTCCACAGCACACCCTTGCCCAGGAGCTATGGGAGCCGCAGGGTGCTGCTCTCTGCTGGGTTTTGGGACACATTCCTGAAAATTATCTATGTCTGTTCACACCCACTGCACATACTCAGAGCTGCATGCTATATCAAAGGGTGGTGAAATCAGTAAACATTAACACATGATCAATTTTAAGCAACTTTGGGGATTTCATCTTGTACCTGATGTTTTTTCCTCAAATCTCCAGCTCTTGGGATCACATGATTTAACAAGACACTACAATTTCACTATATATTCACATATAGACATGCACACACACTTCAGAATTTTCCGCTTTCAGAGTAAAAGCTTGAAATGTCATTGACATGCAAGAAAAAAAAGACCTTGATATTCCTTTTAAAAACATGCCACAAATTCAAACTAATCTCATGAACTGTGGAGCCTGACATCTCAATACTTATGTGCGCCAGTACTGTCTGATGTCGTAAGATTTGCAGCACAAAGTATGGAAGCTGGAGCATAATTTAAGTCTAGCAGGCAAGTCTAGTGAGTCTAGCTTAAGTTTGCATATATTCCCTAGCTGGCTGTACCGAACACTCCTGATTTCACTCCTAAAAGCCATCAAATTATTTCTGATGTTCAGACTACAGCAGATAGTACAGCCGATTTATCTGCATGCAACCTGAGTCTCTGCACTGAAGAAAATCACCCAGGATTTAAATTTTAGCAGTGAATCTACAGGGAAATAATAAGGAAATAGAACAATCCCTTGTTGATATTTTGCGGTTTTCACAGTCTACTTGTGATCAGAAGGTTTCTTGCCGTTTCCAGGTAGCAGCCCCATTGTGCCAATCCACCTGGGAACAGCTGATTGGCATCCTGCATTTCCAAGCATAACAAATGTACATTGGTAACAACCTGGAGATGCAGATGGCCAAACTGTGACCTCTTTTGAATCATGGGAACAGGAAACAAAACTAAGTAGTAAAAGAAACTGCATGAAGCTCAGCCCCAAAAATCCCAAGCATCACTGCACAAGGTCAGGGCTTGTAGGTCTGCTAGAGAAAAAGTACCTGGCTTTTCCATTTATCTTTGCTGGCCCAGGATTTGCATACATGTTTGTAAGAAGGGCCAATTTTCCTGCAGGTTCCTTTAGACTCCCTGGTGGCCCAGGTCACACTGGAGACATTCAGCCTTGCGCTTTCCAGAAGTCTCTGAGGCCAAAAAGCTTGAAAGTCAGCACTGACAAAATCATCACCAATCTCCAAAGATTTTGCCTTGG